ACATTGTATCACAAGGTTCCATATCACAAAGGGAATGCTGGGATTGATTTTGAGAGTTAAATTGCCTCAAAATTTTAGGAATTAGGGGCCAAAAAACAAGCATTTTTCTAGTTTCATGACAATAACTTGTGTGTTAGTGTATGGATCTTTCTGAAATTGTACTGCAAGGTTCCATATCACTAAGGGAAAGCTGGAATTGAGTTTGGGGGTAATTGCTTAAAATGTTTAGGAATAAGGGGCCAAAAATAAGCATTTTTCTAGTTTCCAGACAATAACTTGTGTTCAAGTGTATGGATCTCTCTGAAATTGTACTGCAAGGTATCATACCACATTGGGAAGGCTGGGATTGATTTTGGGGGTAATTGCCTCAAAATTTAAGGAATTAGGGGCCAAAAAGGGGCAAAACAAAGGCATTTTTCTAGTTTCAGGACAATAACTTGTGTGTAAGTGTATGGATCTTTATGAAATTGTACTACAAGGTTCCATATCACAAAGGGAAAGCTGGATTTGAGTTTGGGGTTAATCGCCCTAAACGTTTAGGAATTTGGGGCCAAAAACAAGCATTTTTACAGTTTCCAGACAATAACTTGTGTTCAAGTGTAAGGATCTCTCTGAAATTGTACTGCAAGGTACCATACCACAAAGGGAAGGCTGGGATTGAGTTTTGAGGTGATGAATCATATGGGGGTTCAAAAAATTGGGGGGGGGGGGGGAGGATTTTTTTTCCCTTTTTTTCCTTTTTTTTTTCTTTAAAATTTTCCATCTTAAGTTGGTTATTTTTGATTTATATATAAAAGCAAATAATAATGATATGGTTTGATTTCATCAAAAATTGAAATATTGGGGTTCTTTGATATGCTGAATCTAACCATGTATTTAGATTCTTAATTGTTGGTCCCGTTTTCAAATTGGTCTACATTAAGTCCAAAGGGTCCAAAATTAAACTTAGTTTGATTTTAACAGAAATTGAAAACTTGGGGTTCTTTGATATGCTGAATCTAACCGTGTATGTATTTAGATTTTGGATATTGGACCATAATAGGTAAATTGAAATTTTTTAAGTTCTTAGACCACATTCATTCAGTGTCAGAAACCTATGCTGCATCAAATATTTAATCACAATCCAAATTCAGAGCTGTATCAAGCTTGAATGTTGTATCCATACTTGCCCCAACTATTCAGGGTTCGACCTCTGCAGTCGTATCAAGCTGCGCCCAGCGGAGCATTTTATTCTTCATGTAGAGACTTTGAGTACATGCCATTTTTTTTTTATTAAGAAAACCTCTTCACAAGAAAAAAATGTAGCTTTGAAGTAGTTGCAGCCCAACAATTTTCTGGCTGCAGTTGATCTAAATTTTGAAACATTGTTTGCAGATGGGATTTTAAAACTTTGAGCAGGAAAGATGAATAAGGAATTACTTCTTTACTCCAAAGGCCTTTTTTCCAGTTGACCATTCTCTTCTTTTCTGGTGGGTGGAATTCAGAAAAATATAAACACACCAAAAAAAAAACACTTTTTAGAGTGAAAGATGTCAGTTTCTGCACCATAGTTAATTATGGAACAGGTATATCTATAAAGTTGTGATTTATTGGTAGACTCTGAACTTCACACCTGACCAATACATGACTATGTTACAGCATGCTTTGACAAAGAAAGTGTGACTGTGTATCTTTATTGTCATTGTTATATTTTCATTTTTTGGGTCTGGTCATTATTTTGTTTTTCTTCTTTTGTATTTCTTGTCACAAAAAAATCAATTAAATTTACAAGGTTCAGTTGAGTACAGGATAAAAATAACAACTCATCAAGAATCTCAATATAAGGGTCTAGTAAAGCTTAGCATATTACATCAAAAAAGCAACAACCCAACAACAACAAAAACCAATACAGACACATTTGGAAGTCAGCATATGTGTTCTTTGATATGCAAGTATTTCTACAATATGCAAAGCAAAGAACAATTATGCTGACCTCTAGATGTGTCTGTTCTGGTTTTTGTTGTTGTTGGGGTGTTGCTTTTTTTCATATATATATATCCACATGTACATTTATTCATATCATGAAGGAGCTGTAACCTTGTCTAAAGAACAATTATATAATATATAAAATAGAAATTAACTCCAAACTGTATCGTTCTGTCTGAGGTAGTTGTAGCCCTAATTTATGTACAATTCATAACTTTGACTTAACCCTTGCTTATTATACATTGTTTAATTCTCCTGAAAAGAATGTATAAGTTTTAATTCTCTGCAAAGAATTGGAATAATTAAGAACAAGTACAATGTGTGACAGTGGATCAATGATCTGGGTTCACTACTAGGTGAACCAAGAAGGTTTTTTTCACACTTCAGACTTTTGTTGTATTTCATCCATAAATATTATAGTGCTAATTTAATTTATATATTTTTCTTTGCGTTAAGAATCCTGATATGGTATGATTGCCAATAAGACAACTCCCCACCAGAGACCAAATTACATAGAAGTTAACAAATATAGGTCACAGTACTGCCTTCAACAATGAGCATAAATCTTACTGCCTAGTAAGCAATAAAAAAGCCCTGAAATGACAGATGTATACAATTCAAACAAGAAAACTAACAGCCTGATTTATGTTCAAAACAATAAAGGAAAAACAAATATGATATACAACTTCAAACAACAACCACTGAATTACAGGCTCCTGACTTAGGACAGGCACATACAAAATGTAATGGGGTTAAGCATGTTTGCTGATGCCAAGCCTGCCCCCTAACCTGGGACAGTGGTGTATATAGTTCTTTATAACACAGTTTTTGGCAAGAAATATAGCAATACAATATATTTTGTGACAATTTTCTATTTCATTCAATTGTAATTTTCTAAAACATTTCTATGACAAAGAATGTAAATCAAACACAACATAGAAATAATAATTTGTTAAAATTATAAATACAAGGTTAATGAATAAAGAATTTATGCTTCTATTCAGCATAATTTTACACAAAAAGTTCCATAGTGCACATATAGCTGGAATAACCCTGTCAGCAAGAAGGAATTATTCAGCCAGCAATTTATAATAAGTTGTCATGGAGAATTCAAATGGGACAAACAATTGTAATAAGAAAAATAGCCAATGTTTCATGTGTCTTTGTAAGATAATTTCATCTTGAAAAATAGAAAGCTGCATTTGAAAGTATAATTTCTGATAAAAAAAAAAAAAATATAATTGTCAACCTGTCTCAACTGATTTCTTTAAACTAGCTGAAGGAGCTCCATGTTTATTCTATTATTAATCAGAGTGTATTTCATAAAAAGTCAAGAGAACACTACATAATAATACCTTATTAGATGTAGATATACCAATCTACAGAATGAATTGCAGAAATTTTGAATATATTTTATTGTGAAATAAATTGCTTCACCGAGCGCAGCTGGATACGACTGCAGAGGTCCAAACCTTAACAGTTGGACACAATATTCGCGCTTGATACAGGTCTGAATTTGGATTGTAATTAAATATTTGACACATAATAGGTTTCTGACACAGAATAACTGTAGTCAAAGAACTAAGAATTGGTCATATGATTTGAATTTATATTCAATTTTTTGCTTTTGTGCAATACACTTTGCTGTTGCGAATTGACTTCCCCCCCCCCCCAAAAAAAAAAAAATTTGCCCCCCCTTTTTTTTTGCTATTGTGTAATACACTATGCTGTTGTGTATTGACCTCCCCCATCCCCCCTCCACTTTTTTTTGTAAAAAAAATAATATTTGAAGAATTTTTCTTTTAATTTCTGAAATCTGAAATGAGATAAAATTGACTCCCCACAATTTCCTTTTACCTCCCCCTCCAAATTTATTTTTTCACCTCCCCCCTTTTTCCCCCCAAACAAATTCTTTCCCTCAAGATATGGTCATAATCTCAATTCAAATTTCCAATGGAGTTTGCAACCATAATTACCCATTTAAATACACCATAAAAGTCTTAAAATAGAAAATGACATACATAATCATGGCTAAAATTAATATTCCTTAAATAGTAACTTCTATAAATAAATTGACAGCTAATCATCTCAAGACAATACAATATTTCTTTATACATAATTTAAAAGCAGTGTAAGGGAGGTAAACGAAACGTTGTGTTTGGATTACCTCTCTTACACTGCTTTTAAATTATCCATTAACCAGGACACCCTTGTTTTTCCCCCTTTTTTGCCCCTAATTCCTAAACGGTTTGAGCCATAACCCCCCAAAGCCAATCCTAACCATCCCTTTGTGGTATGGAAACTTGTGGTATAATTTCAGAGAGATCCATACACCGTTCCACACGTTATTGTCTGGAAACTAGAAAAATGCTTATTTGGGCCCCTTTTTGGCCCCTAATTCCTAAACTGTTAAGACCATAACCCCCAAAATCAATCCCAACCTTCCTTTTGTGGTTATAAACCTTGTGTTTAAATTTCATAGATTTCTATTTAATTATACTAAAGTTATTGTCCGGAAACCAACTGTCTTCGGACGGCGATGACGACGTGATACCAATATATGACCGCAAATTTTTTTTGCGGTCGTATAAAAAACTAGTTATAAAATAAGAAAATGTGGTATGATTGCCAATGAGACAACTATCCACAAGAGACCAAATGACACAAAATTAACAACTATTTTGTATATTATATTTTCACTCGATTTTCTTGATGAAAACTTATAACATGGTAAAAAATTGCTCTTAAGGCATATTGCAGCTACATATAAAATTATATAGCTATGTACAAGTTTATGTGTTTAACTATAAAAGTGTACTTCAATAGTGAGGGGGGGGTAGGACCTTTATCGGGACTCCGGGATCGGGTGTTTTTAAGCTCGGGATTTCGGGATTGATCCTTTCGGGATCCGGGAATTCTTTTATCGAAATTTCGGGATGTCAGGTTATTAATTTTTTTAAATTCGGGACCTCAGGATTCCATGTTTTTAAGCCCGGGATTTCAGGATCAGGACCCCTCCTACCCCCCCTCCCTCCCCCCCCCCCCCAAACACTTGTGCTTATTCCAGGTTTAACAGTAATATATCAAATATATCGTCTCAAATTAATTAATTGTAATTTTAAAGGGCTTCGAGACACCATAAAAAAGTTTAGCTTTATTTTGTGCTCGAAACCCTAAATACATTTTTATGGTGTCTCGAAGCCCTTTAAAATTACAATATGTCGCTTGAAACCCTTCAATCATGGTGTCTCAATGCCCATTAAACAATGATTAACTACATTTTTTTAAGACCAATAAATAGTGTATAAGTGTGTACATAAAATAAAAGTTATAAATAGTTTACATTACAATGTACATACATGTAAGGTGGAACTAATAAAAAAACAAAACAATACAACTATACAAACATTGATACACACTATCACTGATTTTCATCATGTGCCTTTCCCCTGATTAAATGTGTAATTCAGGTAAAATTATTTTGATTGGAAATTCTGCAAATACTGAATTATTAAAAAAACTTTAAGTACAGGGTGGATTTCAATGCATGAATGAACGCCATATTAAATTTAGCAAATATCATGATGACCAATAATCTGATCTATGATGTAAAAAGAACAGAAGACAAAGAGAAAATCCAAAGACAACACCATAGGGATAAGATAAAAGGGTTGAAAGGTAAATATAATAATCAACAAAGTATTCAAAATTGTTGTAATAGATGAAATTTACAATTTTAAAGGATCTTATGTAATCATATCACAATGGTGGCAGGGATTTACAACTTTTGATTAGTCTTATTTTTATTCATTTACATTCATATATAATACTGATAAATCACAGAAACTGTTATGAGATGAATATGCAGTTTTATGTAATCAAACTCAGCAGCATCATTTAAACTATGTTCAAAAACATCATAGTGAATAATAAAACCCAGATCACTACTTTCAAAATGGACAGTTTTCTTGCTCTTAATTTTTTACTCCAATCTTTAAATTCTAATCATTTTTATTTTCATGTTTTCTAATAAATTCTACACTATAGCAAATTTGTTCCATAAACTGTACAAAACTGTATAATAACTTTTTAAATGGTAAAGAAATTTTGAAACAAAATTATGCAAATTTTCTCAAAACTTTGTTCATCAAAGGTTAATTATTTTGAGTCTCAGAATTACTTATCATATTGTCTGAATCTTTCATGTCGGGTTCAGAAATTTGTTGAAATTGTTGATGTCACTTGGAGTTTTGTATTTTTGTTCTACTTTTTTCCTACATATTCATACAATTCCACAACAGTCAGTTGTTATAGAAGAGAAAATCTGAATGTCCAGGGTATACCACTGAACTTTAGCAAGTTAAAAAAAAAACTGTTACATATATTGGTAAATTGTGTACACCTTTTAGTTTTACAATTGATAAGAGTAAATTTCAAACCTTATCACAGAGGAGAACAGCTAAAGTTCATATGAATATGACGATACTGAATCAACTTTCTAGTCAGGCCTACCACTAAATCCCCTTGGTTAAAAATCTGAATCAAACGAAGACTGAAATGTTGATTCAAAGTGGTTGACATGAAGATAGAAAAACTGAAAGATATAATGAGATCACCAAAGGTCAAAGGAGTTCCTAGTCATTAGATATAAAATTATGTAAAAGTTCACAATGAAAATCAGTGTTAAAATCATCATTAATACTATTTGTTTTCATTTATTAACTGTAGTGTTTTCATGTGCAGGTTCACATTTATGGACACTAGTATATTCAGGTACAGGTTCACTGTCAATATCACTATCATTACCACTTGATGATGAAGAATCACTGTTGTCAAGTGATGAACTGGAATCTCCTAGATCATCAGGACCTGATGTTAAAGAAGATGATTCAGATGAGTGCACATCATGTACTTCCTGTGAGGACTGTGACCTAATTATTGTTCTACGTAAACGTGACAGTAATCCTTCGCTTCGACTCCTGGGTAAACTGGAAATTTTATCTGATTCTATAAAGAGATTAAAACAATTAATTTATTAGAAAATAAATGTGGATAGTGTCCACATGTGGACACAGATGATGCCCCCGCTTGCATATCATATAGTTATAAAGGGACATAACTGAAGAACGGTAAAAGTGACGCTACCCAAATTTGAACTTGATCTGAGTTTTGTGGTAATAAGCATTGTGTGTACGTCTCATAACTTTTGGTTTAGGATAACTTAAGTAGAGAACAGAAACTAAAAATTCAGTAATTTTTCTATTTGTAAACACTCATAACTCTAGAACGGTTGTGTATAAGTTTTATAACATTTGGTTGAGACAAACTAAAGTTAGAGAATGCAAAAAGAAAAATTCAGCAATTTTTATGTTTATAAAGGGACATAACTCAAGAATGGTAAAAGTGTTGCCACCAAATTTCGTACATAATCTGTATTATGTAGTTATAAGCATTGTGTATAAGTTTCATAACATTTGGTTGAGACAAACTAAAGTTAGAGAACAGAAAAGAAAAATTCAGCAATTTTTATGTTTATAAAGGGACATAACTCAAGAATGGTAAAAGTGTTCTCACCAAATTTCGTACTTAATCTGTATTATGTAGTAATAAGCATTGTGTATAAGTTTCATAATATTTGGTTGAGGCAAACTAAAGTTAGAAAACGGAAACAAAAAAATTGTACTTGATCTTACTTTTGTGGTAATGAATGTTGTGTATAGGTTTCATAATGTTTGGTTGGGGCAAACTTAAGTTACAGAATGGAAACTAAAAATTTTGCAATCTTTTGATTTATAAAGGGGCATAACTCAATAATGGTTAAAGTGACACTACCCAAATTCAACTTGATCTGTGTTTTATCAGTGGAAGTCAAAATTAAACATTGCATTGTATAAAGTATTGATTGTAGTTAATAAAACTATAATCATGGACAAAGGAAGATAACTCCAATTTTAAAAATTACTTGATATTTAGAAGAAAATAAAACTTTTGCAATTTTTCCATTTATTAAGGGGCATAACTCTAGAACGGTTAAAGTGACGCCACCAAAATTCAGACTTGATCTGTGTTTTGTGGTAATAAGCATTGTGTATAAGTTTCATAACATTTGGTTGAGGCAAACTTAAGTTAGAGAACGGAAACCAACTTTAGGACGTACGTACAGACGGACAAGGGTAAAACTTAATGCCCCATTCGCTACAGCGGGGGTATAAAAAAATTAACACTTGAGTAAAGAAGATGAACTATCCTAATGAAAAATATTTAAAGACACATATTTTAATAGCAGTCATTTTTAAAAGCAAAATTTAGCTGTTTTGAATCAATCTTATTTAGTATCTGAGACTATAATATAATCAGGAAGTTTATTTTTATTTATTTATAAATTTAAATTTTGGAGCATATTTTACTTTCATTCAGTTTATACTAAACATAATACTTATGCAGGCAAGGGAAACATAAATAAAATGAGTAATATAGTATTGATATACCAACATAACACAGTAGCTCCAAATGGAAGTTTTGTTATTGGAAGCCATATTAATTATGTGAATCAGCGGAATAAAATATGTAGCATACAAAATGTAGGATAAGCCAAAACACATAATTAACTGTAACTGGTGATGATTCATAGCCTGACTGAATACAATAGCAGGTAACTTTATCCTACATTACAAAACAAAGGTGTTTGAACTTTTAACACTGATGATTAATATACTATTACCCTTAATTTTTAAAAGAAAGTATTGAAGGCATAAATAATGCTTCATTAATTATAACCCCTCCCCCAACAATTTTTTGTTTGGGGGGTATATAGTTTTGACTTGATGTTTTGGCAAAGCACAAGCTAAAACATCAAGACTGCAGGACTACCATGGGATTTAAAACATGTAACACTATTATTAGACTTCATATTTCGGCAAATCATAAGCCAAAACATCAAGACTGGATGACTACCATGTACTTTAATTTCAATAAAGATACCCTATACCACAATGTAGAAGCCCAACTACTGATTATACCGTTAGGTTAAATGTTTACCGCAACATGTAAATCAGTTGAATAAAGTTTACCGTAACTAAGGAAAATTACACTGAATTTTAACTGAAAGGAGAATTAATCCTGTATAGATGTCCGCCAGATACAGAATAACTCTTATCTGCCTGATACAGGATAACTTTTATCCGCCAGATACTGGTCCGAGTACACAGTTATTTCGTAGTGCATTTCTTTTAGACAATAAAGAAAATTAAAAAATCCCACCTGCGCTTTCTCAATAATATTTTTACAGTGTGTTGTACTACTTTTGGGACAAATTATATTAAAATTATAGAAAACTTCATCGGCTCTAACTCAAAATATGGACAATTTTATGTTAAGGGGTTCTTGAAATCTTTTGACAGCTTCCGAAGTGCTAATTTTTAACCTTTTTCAGCTGGACCAAATCACTACTTTACTTTAAAATTCATGACCCAAATTTTTTTACAGTGTCATTTCACCCCCTTACTTGCTATTTGAGGCATAAAACATGGAGAAATAAATTTGGAAGGGATATAAAAAAAATTGGCAAGTAACACACTGTCCACACTTAGGACTATTCGTGGACAACGAAAATCAAAGGACGATAACTGTGTACTCGGACCTAATAGGATAGAAAAAGTTGACCAATCTTAATAAAACTTGGTATGACCAAAGCTTAATAAATTATAAGACTGCTTACAAAGTTTCATGGCAATAGGATATATATTATAGACAATATGATTAATTCTATATTCAACTTTGCGTGTTAAATTTAGACGTTAAAATTGAAAAATTTCAACTATCAACATTTGGGGCTTTTAAAATTCAAATTTTGCAAAAAAATACTTTTAAAATGCCTTAATATGTAATATATCATGTATTAAAAGCAATAGAGTACTCATTTGATATATCAGACTTAGCATAATTATTTAAAAGTCAAATCTATATGAGCCTGTGCCTAAAAATGGAGGTTTTCCAATGAAGGGGAGCCTTACATGAAGATGTAATATTTTCCAGCAATTTTAAATTTGTGAAGCTTTTTGGTTATAAATAATCCTTACATATGTATTTAATGTACTTTAAATGGAAAGAAAACTTACAAATAACATATCATATTAGTTTAAAAGGGTCTTAGGCCAAGTAAGACTGAAAATAATTTAGGGTCAATTTAGGCCGTAGCACATATTTACATTTAAAAATGCATATTGAAGCTATAGGAAATAAAAATTTGTGTCTTTTCTATCATTTCTATACTCAAGTGACATGATACAATAAATCTGAGCACAAAAAGACTCTTGCATTCAACTTTTTGTGCAGACAGTATGGTCTGATACAAAGATTTTTCACTTTTTAGTGAAAAACTTGCATGCAATTTTAGTCTCAACAGGCTTATATTTGAACCACATGCTATCCTACAGAAGAAAAGAAAGATATTATGTGAAATGAAACAGGTACAACAGACATTGTTAAGTTCTTTTTATACAAATTTAGTGAGATATTTATGATGGACTTCAACTTTTATGTACCAAGCTCCTCACATTTAACTTGATCCAAACAGGGCGTTAGACGAGGGTCATTTATACAACACATTTTGCACATATTGTCTGAGATAATCTTCTTTTCTGTAGATTCAGAGTTCACAGATGAGTAACACAACTGGATTAAAGCATAGAAACACAAATATTGACACATGAAAACCTGTCAGGTAGAAAGTCAGAATGCCACTTATGCATCAAAATTGAATAAAATGCTCCGCAGGGCGCAGCTTGATATGACCGCAGAGGTCGAACCCTGAACAGTTGGGGCAAGTATGGACACAACATTCAAGCTTGATACAGCTCTGAATTTGGATTGTGATTAAATATTTGAAACAGCATAGGTTTCTGACACAGAATGAATGTGGTCTAAGAACTTATAAAATTTTAAATTGGACATTCACCTATTATGGACCAATATCCAAAATCTAAATACATGGTTAGATTCAGCATATCAAAGAACCCCAAGAATTCAATTTTTGATGAAATCAAACAAAGTTTAATTTTGGACCCCGATTTGGACCAACTTGAAAACTGGGCCCATAATCAAAAATCTAAATACATGTTTAGATTCAGCATATCAAAGAACCCTAAAAAATTCAATTTTTGTTAAAATCAAACTAAGTTTAATTTTGGACCCTTTGGACCTTAATGTAGACCAATTTGAAAACGGAACCAAAAATTAAGAATCTAAATAAACGGTTAGATTCGGCATATCAAAGAACCCCAATAATTCAATTTTTGATGAAATCAAACAAAGTTAAATTTTGGACCCTTTTGACCTCAATGTGGACAAAGTTGATAACGGGGCCCAAAAATCAAAAATCTAAATACATGGTTAGATTCAGCATATCAAAGAACCCCATATATTCAATTTTTGTTGAAATCAAACAAAGTTTAATTTTGGACCCCGATTTGGACCAACTTGAAAACTGGGCCCATAATCAAAAATCTAAATACATGTTTAGATTCAGCATATCAAAGAACCCTAAAAATTCAATTTTTGTTAAAATCAAACTAAGTTTAATTTTGGACCCTTTGGACCTTAATGTAGACCAATTTGAAAACGGAACCAAAAATTAAGAATCTAAATACACAGTTAGATTCAGCATATCAAAGAACCCCAATAATTCAATTTTTGATGAAATCAAACAAAGTTAAATTTTGGACCCTTTGGACCTCAATGTGGACCAATTTAAAAACGGGGCCCAAAATCCAAAAACTTAATACACGGTTAGATTCAGCATATTAAAGAACCCCAAGAATTCAAGAATAAAACCCCATTGAAATTGATCAAGAAATAAGCAATTTATACGAAGTATCTTCTTTTGCACAATACTGTGCAATTGAATATTTCTTGCTATTGCGCAATACTGTACAATTGACAATTTCTTGCTATTGCGCAATATTGTGCTATTGGATATTTCTTGCTATTGCGCAATACTGTGCAATTGA